GAATTCCAGAAAGGAACAAGAAGACATACCAACAATGTCTGGGAAGTGTAATCCCTTGAACTCGTAAAGAAGTATGCTGATGACTTTACTCTTTGGTTATACTTCCCTTTGGGTGTTTACGACCATACAGTTGGCCCAAATAAATCAATTTATTTTTACACTTAAGATCATTTGATGATCTGTTCCTCAGGGGTCACATGGGCTTGGGAGGAGCTCCTAACTCCTTTATTTTACCAGTTCCATCTATGTGAAGATAAGTCAAAGGTCCTGCTCGACCATGTCTGCCTTCACTTGGGAGCATGAATGAGATGTTTCCTCTGAGTTGACCCTCCTCTTTGTAGACTGGACAATGGTTCAAGTCCATCTCATGGGGTCTCCATGTCCTTCCTGAACAAGAGGACAGGTGACTCACCGCATGTGGTGGTTTGAATGAAAATGTCCCCATAGGCTCCAAGTGTTTGGACATTTTGTCCCCAGATGATGACACTGTTTTGGGAGGTTTTAGAAGGTGTGGCTATCCTGGAGGAAGCATGTCACTGGGGGTGGCTTAGAGAGTTCTTAAGCCTTGCCAGATCTCCAGTGGCTCTCTTGCTTCCTGTGCCTGCATGATGATATGAGAGCTTAGCTTCTGCTACTCCTGCTCCAGCCACCTCCAGCCACCATGCCTCCCTGCCATGACAGACTGTAATTCCCCTGGAACCATAAGCTCAAACTCTTCCTTCTATAAATTGCTTGGGTCAGTGTTTCTATCACAGCAGCAGAAAAGTGACTAATACACCACATTTACAGAACATTTTGAGAGATGTTCCATAGTCCCCTGGAACTTGGTTGACCTTGGAAGGCAAGGGGCAAAAACTGTCTTGTAAGTCCCTCTGACCACATTAGTATAGGCCCTAAGGTATGGCTGTTAAACATCCAATAAGGTTAGTTCCACGAGTCTGATACTTTTAATTATCATGTGCAATGTAGATAAGGCTTAGGTAAAGGACCAAATATTCTCAGATAAACATTGACTATATTTATATTTTGTTTCTTAAACTAGTTGACTAAACTATCTATGACCATAGAAATTTTAAGATTGTGTGTATATTATTTTTGTCTCATCCCTTTATATAATGTATTTTGATATTTAGATGCTCTCCATCTCCTCTCACATTCGCTCTACCTTTCTCCCCTCCCCCATAGTTCATGTTTTAACATCTTTTACATTTTCATTTTCTTTCTATTTTTTTAGTTTTTTTTTTAGAAGAAGCATTTCATTACAGCTTTAACATACTCAATAATAACATTGTCTGAGCTAGGGTACATCTCTTTCAAAATTGGCTG